CCTCGGGGTTTTCGCCGGGGAGGCTCGACGCCTGAACCAGTAAGGTGATTCTCAGATCCGAGCTCGAAGCCAGTTCTAGGGGACATATCTCATCATGGGCCCGCTTTGATATCCGTGGGATTCTTGGGCCGATCTGTACCCAACCCGAGAAAGTAAGCTCGTCGTGTGAATCTTTGGCATATTCGAGATTGCCAAATTGGATGGCTTGGACTAGGGGGAGATTCTCTACTTGTCCAAGATGGCTAGCTGAGTCGGCGTGCAACACGATGCTGCCGATGGTGAAGAGCTGGCCAGGGACGCAGATATCCCCGCAGCCAATGTTGCCATCGTTTCAAAGTTTCGTCATCGAGCTCTTGCAAACCCACAGCGGGACCTGCGTGGGATACCAATGTCGGTGCTGAAACTGGCATATCTCATGTTAGGGGTCCCAAGCTTGGTGATCGGAGCTATATGGTAATAGGAGAAAGTAGGGACACGATGTTTACCTAGGTTCAGGCCATCTCGAGGAGGTAAAACCCTACGTCATGCTTCTGATATATTGTTTGTGATGGGGTACAGAGTACAATATATTCTACCTCGAGATGGTATGATGGAGTTCTAAGCTCTAAACCTCCTAGTTGTGTTTCTACAAACTAAACCCCACGACTTATATAGGCATCGGCGGTATCTAGGGTTTACACATGGATGGTTACAATCTAGGAATAAGTGCCGATCTTTCAAATACGCCTTGAAGTATATGCCAAGTCTTTAGGAGATCTTCATCTTTATTATGCCGAGGGGCAGGGCCTGCATTACCTATTTATTAGTATTGGTGGGTCCCTGGCCTGACCCATAACTGGCAGACCGATGTGCCGAGCACGTCCTATTCCAGGACACTAAGACAAGCTCTAGCAGTCCTATTCAGTATTTTGGTATTCCCATACACTATCGGCATGTAACCATCACTGAGTGGAAGCACGTGGAATAGAGACTTGAGAAACGTCTAGCCAGTTGGAAGGCCAAACTCTTATCATATGGGGGGCAATTGATATTGATTAATTCCGTCCTTAGCAATATGGTTCACTACATGTTTGGTAGTACAATACATGTTTGGCGCCTTGATTAGTTTAGGTCTAAGATTTTTTTTGGGTAGTACGACAATGAATCCAAGAAATATTGGATGGCTAGGTGGAGTGCTTTATTCAAATCTAAAACTCATGGGGGGGCTTGGAGCTCAATATCTTGAGAACATCGCTCTTCTCAGTAAATGGGTTTACACATTTCTCACTGAGAATGGAGTGTGGCAGTAAATCATTCATAAAAAGTACATCGGGTCCATAGCCATCTCTCAAGTACATTGGAAACCCGATGATTCACATTTTTGGTGTGGCGTGATGAAGGCTAAAGAATTCTTTTTTCTGATTTGGCACCTTCTGTATTAGGGATGGTTCTCAGGTTTGATTCTGGGAAGACACCTTGCTGGGGCCACCCGACTTATGCTGCAATACCCTAGCTTGTACAGGATTATAGAAATAAATTTGTCACGATCAAACATGGTTTGGGGCAAGAAAATCATAATATTTCTTTCCGTAAGGATCTTCTACACTATGGGAAACAGTTAGTTTTTGTCAGGCTTGTACAGACGGCAAAGACAGTATTACAGATGGCAAAGATTTTGCCGTCATCTGCAAAAGGCAAAGAGTGTCGGCAAATTCTAAATCTGCAAAGGGGTACTTTGCCGTCAGCCTTTCGTCGGGATGACGACAAAGTCTTTGCCATCAGCCAAACTGATGTTTTGCAGTCAGTCGACATAACAACAAACAACAAAGAAAAGCTTCTTTTGCCGTCAGTCGATTTAGTAGCAGACGGCAAAGAAGCTCCTTTGCCGTTAGCCTCCAAAAATCAAAGACGGCAAAGAATGTTGTTTATTAAAATAAATCAGCAGTACATCACATTATCCATCCACACTTTGTTTCCAGAATCGATGACGAACGGACAAATTTCACAACAGAATACATCATCACTTGCTGATCCAAGCCAAAACTGCTCTATTGCATAATATGAACGGATTACACACGTATTTTTTTACAGGAGAACAGACAGCGACGAACTCCGGGGCCGGCGGGTGAGGAGGCGGCCAGTGAGGCCGGGGCCGGCCGGCGAGATGGCGGCCAATGAGGTGGTGGCGGGCGGCGGCGGGCTTACAGGCGCAACGAGGGGAGTGGACGGGGCCCGCAGCGAAGGGGGAAGTCGATGCGCCGGACGGGGCCGGCAGCGCCGGGCGCGATAGTGGCGGGGCCAGGGGCACGTGGAGGCGGGCGGCCGGCCGGAGGCCGCCGGAGTCCGTCGGGGGCAGTCGAGCGGAGGCGGGCGGCTTGGATGGCTGCGGGAGGTGGACGTCGGCGGCGTGCGGAGCAGGGTAAAGGCAATCGGAGGCGGGCGCCCGGGCGGCGGCCGGTAGAATCGAGCTTCCGGGCCGTAGACGTCGGGGCGCAGACGCCGGCGCACGGGGAATCCATGACGAGGAGGCCTGCGGCGGCGCCGAGGCGCGAGGCGAACGGGGCGAAGAGAGCAGAGGCCGGCGGTGCCGGGGCGCAGACGACTGCGTGCGGGGGCGCCGTGGCGACGAGGCATGCGGCGACGTTAGGGCCAACGCGGGTGGACGCGGGGGCGAACTGGCGGCGAGATGGCCGGAGCACGAGCAGCAGTTCGTGAGAGAGAGAGAGAGATGCGTATGAGAGAGGGTTCATGCGGGGATAAAGGAGTTCGGGTGAGATGGGAGTCGTGGGTGTGGGCGGGTAGGTTCACGGGGGCGTGTGCATCGTGGGTCAGTGGGTGTGGGTGGGGGCATGCGTCGGCGTCCGATGATGGTTGGAATGTGCGTCTAAGATGTTGTCGTGTCATCGATCCAGGTGATCTATCCGTGTGATGTGCTTTCTCTTTGCCGCCTGCCACAAATGGCAAAGAGCTCACTTTGCCGTCTGCCAGAAAAAACACAAACGGCAAAGAATTTTTCCTGTCTGCCACCGTCTGTATATTTTTTTTCCAGACGGCAAAATGAGCTCTTTGTCGTTTGTGTTTTTTTTTTCAGGCGGCAAAGTTTATTTTCCGTTAGTTTTTCTTTGCCGAACCCTTCTTTGCTGTCTTGCACGACAAAACGCTGACGTCAAAGACCTCCCCAGACGGCAAATTAGTTTTTTCCCGTACTGCTAGGGCCTCGCCTCGCAACATGAAATGAATTACTCATTCGTCTGGAGGCCATTCAGTTGTCAGGTGAACCAGACATGTTTCGATGGAATTTGCATCAGTATGACATGTTTTTAGTGAAATCCTTGTATGATTCAACGGTTGATGCTGATGTTTTGGTTGATAACAGATATTTGTGGAAGCTCGAAATTCCTGTATGAGTGAAAATATTCCTTTGGTTTTGAAACAAAGGGGTCATATTAACTAGAGACAATTTGACGCGATGAAACTAGGAAGGTAGAGAAAGACATAACGAGTTGATTAAACACCTATTCTTTGAGTGTAAGTTCGCTCGTTCAGTTTGGACCATAGTTCAAGTAGCTTCAAATCTATATCCCCCACGTGGTGCACGTAATATGTTCATCAATTGGTTGATGGTATTGATAAACAACTGTATGAACTTATTGTTGTGGGTGCGGTTGTCTTATGCTGGACATTGCGGCTTGCCAGGAATGATGTGGGTTTTAATAATAAATGTGTTTCATCCGCAATGCAATGCAGTTATTCATGCATGTACCTGATGCCTCCGTACCTCATCTATCCTACAGAGGCCGGAGGACAAAGACTTTTGTATCATGGTGTCTACACGGCTGCAGCTTGCGGTCAGGGAGGTATTCTCCACTCAAGGATGGTGGTGTAATCTCTGGATTGGATCTGCCGCACCATAGGCTGGACTGATTGATTATTTTTATGTAAAATAATGTTTATTTTTGGGTTGTTCGGACTTGGTGGCTTTGCACATAATACTATGCAGAGGCCGGCTATTCTTTCGATGCAATTGCATCACCTCGATATATAAATTCCATCAAATGTGTTGCATTGAAAAAAATCCACAGCTTCAAGCCCACCACATGCATGATGTGGTCTTGTGCAGGCTATGGTGCCTAACTTTGTAGAAATGCCTACCAAATTCTACAACACCAAATAGTCTCATTTGAGTAGACTGATTATGAATTATGAGTTTATAGTATATTTATTCTGTATTATGAATGTTGATAATTATTTATAAATTTGATCAAAATTAATAGAAGTTTGACTTAAGAAAAATCTGGAATGATAAGTATTTGTGACGAAGGAGTAGGTATGTTATCGCCTATGGCGTAGTTTTAAACCTTTGACAAGTGTCTTTGTAAACAGAAGGAGGTTCTAGCTCGTCGGATCGACTTGGGTACCACAAAGCACATCGCCTATGTTCTTCCATTTATTTATTCATAAGGCATGTTTAGTTAGGTGTTTCAGCCTGCTTTATATTCTTATTAATTTGAGTACGTGTCACTTAATAAAAAAACAGCAACATAATTAATATATGTTTAGCTTCTTTCTTGGAATAAAAAATAAATATTTACACAATTATTCTTAGATGATTTAAGTACAGAGAAGTTAAACAATGTGACTAGAAGGTATGTTATGCAAAGAGACATGTTGAACAGAAAATGAGAAGCTAAATTAGCTGAAACCAGGTTTGTGGTCGTACCTTCTTTTGAAATAGCTTGCGAGCGTCCGTTTCATTCAGGAGTTCAAGATTGTATATGTTCTCCTTTCTGGAAGAACAACTTTCAGCAATATTCAGTTCTCGTGTGGTAACAATGATCCGGTTACGACCATCATTTCTTGGTGGCGGCAGGAGCTTCATTATCCACTGCCATTTCCCAACAGACCACAGATCGTCCAAAACGATGAGGCATTTATGTTCCAGTAAAATCTCTGCCAACTGGACAATTGGCTCCTTGCTAGAGCCAGAGCCAGAGCCACAGCCAAACTCCCCTTTATCTGCATTATTGCGTAGAAATTGCTGGAGTAAGTCCCCAATAAATTCCTGCTCGGTGAAAGAACGTGAGACAGTTAACCAGGCACGCCTCTGAAATCTGTCGCCGTGTTCTTGTTGGTACACTTCTCACGAGGGTTGTTTTTCCAAGTCCGCCCATTCCATAAATGGCAACCACCTCACCACCTTGATTACCTACAGGAGTAAGTAATTCCATAACTTTAGCTTTTGCTGCCACTCGGTCAATGAGTTCACCTTCCACCAAAGCAGCAGCCATTGCACTGGCAGGAGTGAGCTTCTCAGGTTCAGTTGAGCTTGATCCAGCCTTGTCGTCCTCTTCGGTTCGAGTGTCCACCTGAACACCAAGGAACACTTAGGGGGAATACTTCTTGCCAAGATGCATTAATATTTGCAGCATGTTCTAGTTTACCGGGAAAGGCTTTCGCCCCGCTTTATATATAAAGCAAACCACCAAAGCCACACGGTCCAACAAGAATTCATACCGCACACACACGAACACAAAGTACGAACAGGTTCTGCTGAGGGCACGGTCCAACAAGCATGTTCTAGTGTCCAATACAAGATAATTTTTCTAACAATCTATACTATTTCGTCCGTTCTAAAATGTAAGATCTATTAGTTTTTCTAACAGACGAACATATCCATGTTTGACCAAGTTTACAGCAAAATATATCAACATATAAAATCCCAAATAAATAAAAAATTGTGGTGACTAAAATAACATGATTTGGTATTTTGGGCATTCATATTAAGTTAGAGAAGTTTGATGCCCACAAAACTAGTTGTAGTTTTAACGAGCACAATAGTGACAGATCAATTTGGCCATCTATCACTATTGTGCTCGTTGATCTGTCACCGTGGCTATTTAATGTATTCTAGAAAAAAAATGTAGCCATCTAAAATAAGTACTCAATCCTTTCCAAAATATATGGAAAAGAAACCCGCGAATTTCATCACAAAAAACAGATAAAAAATATATAAGGATGTACACGACGTACACTTTTGTTCGGTAGAAGCCAATTGTAATTGCATATTTATCATAAATACATACTTTTTATAATGCATTTAATTGTTATTACACACGAAAACAACTATACATCAAATGTAACATGTATATATATCGCAGCATCAATTTATCCAGCAATTATGCATGTGCACAACTCGCTCATTCTGAGGAAGAGGATGCTTACCTTCTTATAGAAGGCAAAAAATTCCTTGTCGATTGACCAGTTCTGCTCTATCTCAGATAGCATGTAAGGCTGCTCAGTGCATAAACTTGCAACTTCAAATTGCTGAGTGGACACAATAATTTGGCTTCCTTTGTTGTTCGGGAAGTATGTTTTGATCCAGTCCCACTCTTCTATAGTAGAGACATCATTAATAACAACGAGATATCTGTTGTCCGTCACAAAACGATTGAACTCATCAACCAAATTATCTTGTGATTCCATATGCTTCAAAACCTGCAACCCTGTTCTTTTAACATTGTCTTTGCACAACTCCCCATAAAACTGCCTCACCAAGCTTGCAAAGAAGTCATTTGGATTGAAGGGATGTGTGAGCCTCATCCAGGCTCGGCACTCAAACTTGGATTTTACATCTTGATTATTGTAGGCAGCCCTAATGATGGACGCCACCCCAACATCGCTGCTTGATCCCCACACTGCGATAGCACTAGGAACATCATCATCACGAGTAATCAGTTTGACCAGATCTACCTTTTTCTTGTCCTGCAGTGCAACACGTGTAGTCTCAGCGATCTGAAGTTGTACTTCGGTGCTGATGGTAGACTGTTCATCATTGGAGGTAGGATTGGAGCCACAGTGCCTGATGAGGCGGTAGCGCATGTTCCTTTGGCTCACATCCTCCACTTTGACTCTCAAATCCTTCATCTCCTTGGCCACACGGCGCCGGTCTAGCAGCGAGCAAATGCGCCACCAGGAATATTTTTCAATACGAACAGCGAAATCCTGAAGGTAATAAGGATATCAATGGATCAAATACCAACTGAATACTGACGAAACTGCATTCATCTCAAGATATTTAAATGGAATACTAATGATACGGATCATGAAACTAGGACATGATGCATCCAGTACATGTATATTTATGGCTGATGAAAGTAACCGGGCAAAACATTGGTGATAGTTTTATCATCTAAGAGCGATCACCAGCCATGCATTTTATCTATTTGTGTCAATAACAGAGCATAAGTTGATGTTAAGCTAAGATCTATCACCAACTAATTAGGATATTTTATTCTAAAAAAACTAATACATATGTTTGTTCCTTTCAGAATACTTTGCAGCTACATATTCCATAATATTTTGGATAGCAACTAACCCATATTTTTATGCCCAAAAAATGCAAGTAATTAAGAAGAAGAAATTAACGGGATTTAGCAGCAACATGCTAAGGGATGCGAAAATTTAACCCACGTATAGTCACTCTTATATCTACCTGGAGGGAGTCCTCAACATCATAGGCAACGTCGCGGACTTGCTTCACCCAGGTCTTGACCACCTTGTGGTCATCTCGCTCCTCATGTGCAGCCTCCAGGAAAGCTTGCATCATCTCAAGCTCGTCCGTGATAAAAGCCTGATCACCCTGGACACCGAGCTGCAAAGCCACCTCCCCTGCCACAGCAGATTTGGCGTAGCTAAGCGCTCCATTCAGCACGGACTTGCCAATGCTTAGCACCGTCGCCTCCATTAGCTGGTGCTCTGCTTGTGTTGATGGGGTGTGATGGTAGAGGCAATACTGATGCTGGGGCTAGAGCCAAAAGGTGAACTGTGGTATTAGAAAGTGAAGCTGGGCGGCAATGCCGGCGTCAGTAAGCTAACTTCTCTTAAAAATAAAACTCTTTAAGAACAAGACTCTAGGCTGTTCTATATGTGCCAAGTCTTCACAACTTCAATTGACCAGGCTGTACCTCGTCGGTTGCGCTGCTTGGTAAGCATCTCCCAGCAGAGATCTCTAGGTAGTGACCACTTGCGTGCCATGCAAGTCCAAGAGATTATTCGTAGATTAGTGAGGACATGTGGGTTGCCTCAACAAAACCCGGCCGGGACCATTTGCTGCATGCACGTTCTGGGTCATTAGGGATTGTGTCAAGTGCCGAGCATGTGATCTAGTTCTTGGAAACGGACAAGTTTTTTCGAAAAGGACAAGATAAACTCGTGGATAGTGTATGAGTTTTGCTTTTGCATGAACACTTTGTCCATTACATTTTCATCTTCCTCGAACACAGCATTGCTAGGTGTCGAAAGGTAAGTTCTCGTCTCCAGTCCTAGGTGCGCAGCAATGTTCATCAGTTCAGACATCAGAACCAAGCAAGGTTCTCCTAATCAAGTTCCACGGCAGGGGATCATGAACTCCTGTTCCGAACTCACGATAAACTTCAATCCTCCAGCAAAACTTTGTCTGCGGATTAGTAATTCATGTGTCTTTTGGACCCAACAACACTAGAGTTTAAGTAACCAGCATTTCAAACCAAATGCACGTTAGGCCTCCAGAGGAAGCATGTGATGGAGCTTAATTACCGCTCGAAAGATCCCCTAATCACGGCTTTAATTAAAATACTGTTGAGATGAACAGGCTCTCTGTCATTTGTGGTAGTGGACCATATGGATGCCTCGATCGACCATAACCCCATCGTAGGGGCAATTAATTTTTGCGCACGCGTTTTAGAGCATTGAGCTTGTGGGGAGCATGTGAGTTCGTCGCTCGACTGAGTGGTCCCCCGAGCGGAGACCACATGGCCGGCCCCAGTAGGCGAATGGAGCTAGCCAGATGCGGATCCCTTTGCCAACGACAGATTAACATGAATGAAACTCAGTTACAATAGCGGGTATAAATTAAAAGGTGACTTAATCACTACTATGAAAATTCTGATAGATTGAGAACGGTAGTGGTGTTGCCCAAATTCTGATACATTGACTTAATCACAAGGCCACCCACGGTTAACCGCACCGCGGTCACGGTGGTTCATTGCCATCCACCGGCTATATAAACTCCAGCCCCGGCCATAGCCGCACTCATCCTCCTTCAATCCATTTCTCCTCTCTGCACCACACCCGCCATGGCCTCCTCGCGCTCCAAAGCCCTCTCGGACAACCTCTCGCCTGAGCAGAAGGAGTTGGCCGCCATGACCGCCACTGGACGGTCCAGATGTGTTTTACGATATGAGCGGTCATCTGTCGGCCCGTTCGACCGTCTGGATGCACTTTCTCCCACAAACCGGAGACAAACATGGGGGATTTGCGGGTGTCTGGACTGTTCCCACGCCCGTTCCTGATCGCCCTGGCCCAGACTTAACCCCTTCCCTCGGCCGCGCGTGCTTCCCGCCCGGAATGGTCAACGCCATTCCAGAGCGTCAGTGCCGCATTCATGCCTTGCCAGAGCGGATACGACCTCTCACTGCTGCTGGCATTGAAGCGAAGCGCTCGCCGCCCAATGCCACTTCCCAGTGCAGACAATTGCTCCACATTCTGTCGTCGTTGCATTTATGTTAAGCGGCTGCGGAGGAACCTACTAACGTGCCACCCGTACGTCCGTCTGCTACCCATCGTTAACCACACCGCGGAGGTCCATTGCCATAACCGCACTCATCTTCCTCCGTTCCATTTCTCCTCCCTACACCACACCCGCCATGGCCTCCCCGCGCTACAACGCCCTCTGGGACAGCCTCTCGTCAAAGCAGAAGGAGTTGGCAGCCATGGCTGCCTGCTGGCAGGCCGACGGGAAGATGGAGGCAGAAAATGTCCGAATGCAGGACGAGCCAGTGACACCCAACTCGCCAATACAAACCGGCATCAACATGGCTGGGCCCGTGGCCACTACACGGACATGATGCGGGAGGAGCAGGACGCCAAATTCCAGCCACTAGTGCAGAATCGGGCAATAGTCCCGGTTCTGCAACTGGCACTAAATGGTGGGGACTAAAGCCCCCCCCCCTCTTAGTTCCGGATCAACACGACCCAGGACCAAAGGCCCACCACGTGGCACGAGCCCGCGCTGGGGGCTGGGGGACCTTTAGTCCCAGTTGGTATCATCAACCGGGACTAAAGGATTTCTTTTTCAATTTTTCTTTGATTTTTTTTGAAAAAAAATGATTTTTTTCAATTTTCAATTTTCTGAATTATTTGACGATTTAATCTCTAATCACCCCTTGTCACTGCTCAAATGTGGAGCACTCATTCCAAATCGTCTAAGTTCCCGGCCGGTCACCCATCCTCCCACTACTCCAGCCTGAGCACTTGTTGTTTTCCTGACAATAGTAAGCTGTCAATCCTATTAACCCTCGGGAGTTTAGCTTGAGCATGAAGTCACAAATTTCACCGTTTGAGTTTGAAACTATTATTCTAAAAAACAATAATTCTTTAGTAACACTAATATTTCTTAAATAAGTAGTTTGACCATAGTTTGACCAGATTTGACCAAAATTCAAAAAATTGAAATAATTATTTAGTAACACTAATATTCTTGAATAATTATTTAGTAACATTAATATTTCTTGAATAAGTAGTTTGACCTCATTTTGACCAGATTTAACTAAACTTAAAAAAACTGAAATTTGAGCATAACTTTTTTCTTTCAAAATTTGAGGATTCTAAAAATTGGAAAAACAGCCTACGACAGTCAAAATTGGAACCGGATATTCGTGCTGAACATTTTGATATATTATACGTTTTTTTCGACATCGTATGCAAAAGATATGGTCGTTTTACTTTTTCATAACACTTTTTTGCAAAACATGTCGAAATTTATGTTTTTAAATTTCCCTAACTAGTAGATGTAGTAACATAACTACATGTCAAAGGATTTTAATTTTTGAAGTTTTTATCATTTTCTTTTATTTATTTTCAAAACTGAAAAGGCGATAGGGGGCGTAGAGTTTGAAAATCACCCCTTTAGTCCGGGTTTGGAGCCACCAACCATGACTAAAACAGGTCTAACCTTTTAGTTCCGGTTGGTGGCTCCAACCCGGACTAAAGGTCTAACCTATAGTCCCGGTGACACAAACCGGGACTAAAGCGGCTCGTGGGGCCCCGGCCTGACGCCAGCCTGCCATCACCCCTTTAGTCCCGGTTTGTGACACAAACCGGGACTATAGGTCACAAATGAACCAGGACTAATGTATAGCCGTTCGAACTGGGACTAATGATACCATTAGTACCGGGCCGTAATTGAACTGGGACTAATGATACCATTAGTACCAGGCCGTAATTGAACTGGGACTAATGATACCATTAGTACCAGGCCGTAATTGAACTGGGACTAATGAGGTAAACATAAGGTCGTTTTTCTACTAGTAAGCAGGAACATGCCGACCAGGCCTACAACCTCCACCTCCATGACAAGCACCGGCACGCGGAGGAGTAACTTGCCCGCCACGCGGCCATCCGCCGGAAGTGGACGTGGCGGAGCAAGATGCCTTGCACGTATCCTATCGCTCCACCCGCAAAATCCGCAGTGACCGTCTATGCTACATCCAGCGGCAGGCGGAGCTAACAGCCGCCTACAAGGAATTCGAGGAGGTGGCGGACGAGTTTTTCGGCAAGAGCGAAGACAAAGTCGGCTCATCCACGACCACGCCTCGCCGCCACGACCACGAAGATGGGGCGTCAGCTAGTGCCTCCTGCAACGAGAAAGAGTATTGCATGTTAGGTCGCCGTTGCTCGGGTCCCAAGAAGGTCACTGCTTTTCCCCTCCCACTGGAGCCAAGCTTGGCGGCCTCAAAATCGGTGGCCGGTTAGCCGCTCAAGCTCGAGTGACGGAGGCCATGAAGGCAGAGTTGGAGAACGCTGAGGCGGAACTGAAGAAGCCAAAGGCAAGAGCCGGAGCTTCAATTCTTTAGGTTCATGGTCGGACATGGGGAACGGGCACCGGCGACCATTTAGATTAGCTTTAGAATAGGACTATGTCCGGCAGTAAATATACCTCCAAAGCCTCGGATGAGTTTCGCTTTAGTTGAAAATATGTCCGAAATGTAATGAATTTCATCCGTTTATATGAAATTCATCGTGTTTGAATGAATCTCGTCCAGTTTAGATGAAAATCCGTCAGCTTTGCACGAACTCTGTCTAGTTAGTCAAAAAGTGTTTGAAATGCATGCGGCCAGCGTTGGATGGCCGGCTCCCTCATCAGCGTATGCGGGAGAAAATTTGCGGGTTGACATTGGAAATGCCCTAACATGGTAAACGGTTTTTGAGCTAACAGTAACGGTGTCTAGAACTATTTTTTAGTATGCGTCGAGGGGAGCAACAATGACATCTTTTAGCATGTGAAACTTCTAGCGGCAAAACTGAGGTAGTGGATTAAAAAGCCATATTTTCAAAATTCCCATGAATTGGATAGTCAATCTTGAAAGAATGGATTGTCAAATAGAGTTTTAAAATTTGAGATTTTGTTCGGAATCTTCAACCCAAAAAAGGCAATTTCCCCGTGTTCATTTATTTTTCTGTGTTTGCTGGAGTAAAGGACTTTTATTCGAAAAAAGGAAAGTAGGAGTACTTGGGCTCCTTACTCTACTGTACCGTGATTAAGAAACTTTGGGGAATGGACGGTGACCGTGGTCGGTCTCGGTCACCGGCACCCGCGTGGGAGCTCCCAGGTAGTTTCCGGGAAGCCACCGTCATCCGGCAAACCGCGACCAAAAAGCGGGTTCGACGGCTTGACAGGCCGCGACGCACTGACGCTACCCCTCCTCACTCTCATGCATCCGTGACTTGTGGCGGCGGCTGGCGGCGAACAAGGGCGACAGAGGTTAGCCTCCGATCCAACTCTCTCACTCACCCCCGGCCTCCACACCTCTCTCTTCTCGCACTCTTTGTCCCGATGGTGCGGTTGCGCTGTGTTTAGGGGCGCCGCGGTCTGCCGAATCTGGGGCACGGCGGTCGGGTGGATTTCGTAGGGGAGGTCGGGCGGATTGGGGGGTGCGGCGGTGGCGAGGATCTGAGGGAAGGCAGCTGCATGAGCAGGCAGAAAGCGCGGATATCTGATAGCTGTGTGCGTGCGTGCGGCCGGCGTGCTTGCTGGCTGTGATGCCGGCGTGTGTGGAGTGTGGACGCGTGCTTGCCGCCGTGTGTGGCTGTGTGCTTGCTGTCTAATGGTCTGTTCTATCTGCGTTTCAGAAATTTCACGGCAGCTTACTGGCGCTTGCCATGGCGCTTTGGACTGGGCTGAGTCAGGCGGCCACGGTGGCGCAGCTGGTCGGAGCAGACGTGGGCGGGCTCATCTCCATGATCGTGCAGGCCGCTCTGACTGCTCGGCAGAACAGGTCCGAGTGCGAGCAGCTCGCGCATCGTGTCCTCATGATCGCCCAGCTTCTACCGCACGTGCAGGAGCCCGAGGCGGTGCAGCCGCTGGCTGGGCTGAGTGACACGCTTCGGAATGCCCACGATCTCATCGTGTCCTGCCAGGTGAGGAGCACGGCATACCAGTTTGTCATGGCTGGTAGGACGGCCGACAGATTCAGGGAGGTGCAGAGCAAGATCGACTCCTATCTCATCCTCTTCCCGGTGATCAGCCACATCGGCATCACACGCCGCCTCGAACGGATCTACAACGTCCTTGTTCCAGACGCCTCCACGACAAGTGTTCCACAGCTGCAGGTATGTACAGCTTCAACACAAATTGATCGCACGAGTTGCTGAGAAGATATACGTACTGGAATTGACACTAACGGTTGTTCGGGAGGTTTCTGGTCTCTTTTTTCAGGAGTCTGCGGAGGTTGTTCAGGAGGTACTACTACAAGGAACCAAGGAATTCACGTTGGCGGAGATCATAGCTGCCACCAACAACTTCTCCCGTGACACCTTGATCCATTACGGCAGGAGAGGGGTGTACAGGGGCAGGCTTTACGATGGACGAGAGGTGGCCATCAAGCGGATGGGCAACCTGCAGTGGGAAAATGAGGAGTTCCTCAGGGAGCTCGACATCTTATCAAAGCTCCGACACAAGCACATCGCCCGCCTCCTTGGATGGTGTGTGATCACTAAGGACAAGCGTCTGCTGCCCTGGCGAAGAATGGAGCCAGGAAGGGTGATCGTCTATGAGTACATGGAGAACGGCATGCTCTCCAACCACCTGTACCCTGACCAAAGCTCCACTGTGTTGTCGCCATTGATAGTATCCTGGAAGATGCGCATCGATGTGCTCCTCGGTGTGTCACAGGCCATCGAGCACCTGCACTGTCATGCCAACCCGCCAATCATCCACCGTGACATCAAGCCGGCTAACATCCTTTTCAATGCGAGTTGGGTGCCCTGTTTGTCTGACTTTGACTCGTCACTTGCCTTGGACATGGCGAGTGAGGAGCCCGTCCAGGGCACACTGGGGTACCTTGACCCTTTGTACTTTCACACAGGTCGTCCGAGCCTGACGATCGACGTGTACAGCCTGGGCATGGTGATGCTCGAGATTCTGACAGGGAAAAAGCCATATTTCCAGGTGGAGGGGGGGACAGATGGACTTTTGACAGTCTTTGCGCTCCCTATAATCGAGGCCGGTAATATTGAGGAGTTGCTGGACAAGCGACCTGTACCGGAGCCAACACCTTGGCATCTGCAGGCGCTGAAGCGTGTGGCGCAGATTGCACGATGCTGCGTGAAGTTGGTCGAGAAGGACCGGCCAGTCATATCAGACATCGTTGCCAACCTCAAGATGGCTCACGCGTTGATCTGCAGAGACGAGCCAGGTTTAGTTGATGAGTCGGACTTCTGGCCTTTTCTCATAAAAGTTGACGAATCACCAGACTCACCATGTGCCAGCAGCAGCGTGTCCGACCAATCTGGTACACTAGAAACCTACTGAACTCTTAATTCAATCTTCTTCATATATGCTGATAACAGGGGCACACTAATAATCACTTTGTGGTCTGATTAGGAGTCTGAGGTATTGGAGGAGGGGCGTTGACACCACATCACCATTATTGGAGCCGTGCGTTATACTGAGGCAGGTTTGACGACATTCGACAGGATTTCTAGTTTGCTTCTTCACCGCGCACCTTACTTTTTTCCCGAGTGGTTTCTTAGAGAAGGAACGCACAGGGTTGACGGTCAGCGCAACGTTTTGTTTTTTTAGCATCCCTTACCTTTCAATTACAAAGTTTTTTAGCCTTGAGTTGCGCATGAGCACACAAGGTCTACTTGTTTATGTAGCTTCTTTTTAAATTTACTAGCTAAACACTCATGCATTGCCACAAAATGTGAAATGAAACATAAATATGATATATTTGTAGCGGAATGAATATATATGCTGATTTTGATATAATATTTGCCGGTTTAGAGTTTCTACGCTTCACCATTGAGTTAGAATCATCTCAAGCTCATCTTGTGAATCTCCGTCATGGTGTCCTTCGCCTTGGACGATAGTACGTATAATTGGTAAGTGTCATTAAATTAGAGTATGCTTATTTTGAAGTATAAGATTATTCATAAATAGTTTGGATTGCTTACCACATATGTCACGTGGTGAGTATAAGATAATCGAATCAGTTTATCTATGGCGAATACATTATTTATTTAAGCATATCATAGAACTTCTATGAACTCCAAGTTTTATGAATACAAATTTTGGATGACGACCTTCAAAAACTAAAATTGAATCCAAGACGTAAGTAACAACTCTAGTACTTTGATAATTCGCTTCCTTGTCCGTGTGGCCCTCAAGTGCATGTGGAAAAAACAGTTAAAAAGCAATTGCAGAGTACAAGAGGAGTTCCGCACAGAGCTCGACATCCTCTCACGGCTCCGACACAAGCACATCATCCGCCTCCTTGGATCGTGTGTGAGTAAGGACAAGCGCCACCAAACCGCCCTACAAAAGGAAAAGAGGGGTCTACTAGCAAGGTGGAGAAAGAAAAATGGCACGCTCTTCGACCAGCTTCACCCTGATCAAGGCTCCACCGCGCTGTCGCTGGTGACGATGTCTTGGAAGATACGCATCGATGTGCTTCTGGGTGTGTCCCGCGCCATTGAGCACCTGCACTGTCATCATGCCCGCTTCCCGATCATCCACCGTGACATCAAGTCGTCTAACATCCTTTTGGACGCGAGTTGGTTGCCGCGTGTGTGTGACTTTGGTTTGTCCGTCACCTGGGATGTGGCGAGTGATGAGACAGGGCTCGATGCCCCCTGCATTGGAGGCACATTCGGGTACATGGCCCCAGAGTACGCCGGCGGTCTTTGTGTGAAGCCAGCGATCGACGTGTACAGCCTGGGCGTGGTGATGCTTGAGGTTCTGACAGGGAGAACTGCTTTTGACCAAGAGGAGGGTTATTATTGTTTAGCGGAGTTTGCGTCCTGCTCCCGCATCATCAAGGATGGTAATATAGAGGAGTTGCTGGACAGGCGACCTGTACCGGAGCCAACGTCGTGGCAGCTGCAGGCACTGAAGCGTGTGGCGCTGATTGCACGATGTTGCATGGAGTTTGACATGAATCACCGACCAGCCATGACAAACATCGTTGCCGAACTAGAGATTGCATACGAGTTGTTCTGCAGAGACGAGTCAGATTCAGTTAACGAGTCATCAGCAGGCTCCCAGTCCGATCCGGTACACTAGCTACAAACTGATGGAACTATGTTCGCATTAATGCATTCAATCATGTTCATACACTGATGAAGACGGCTCACTGCTCATTTTGTTGTCTCTTCCTTAATTAGGAACCTGAGGTGTTGGATGAGGGGCGTTGACAGATGACACCGAAGGTTTAAGGCAGTGGCGTAGCCAGCCCAATAAGCCAGGGTGGTCCATCAATAGAAATATTTATATAAGTTTATTTATTTTAAAAAAATATTTTTTTACTACACTATATGCAAGCTATGGGGAAATTCCAGGGTGGTCCATGGACCACCCTGGCCACCCCCTAGCTACGCCACTGGTTGAAGGCGCGTCGTCTGGAACGGTGCATGCACTATGCCGGGGGCAGGCTTCACGGTGGCAATAAGTGTCACTCCTCAGTTTTGTATGCTGTACAAGTCTGCTCTAGGATGCACTGCCCAGGATTGATGCTGGCAATTCGGCATGCTTTCTTTTCTGCGTTGCAGTTTTGTATGCTGAAGCCATAATAAGCAGGTAGAGTCGGCGCGCGGTCGTTCCTCCTTGGAGGTAGTGGCTGAAGCCATAATAAGCAGGTAGAGTCGGCTGCGGCTGAAATCCTTGGAGGTAGAGTTCCCCCTTGACCAGTTTTTGGGTCAGGTTATCTTATTAATTTCATAAGAAATGAAATTGACGGGTCTTAATAATTATAGGTTCTCTCTTTAGTTTTGCTCCGTAAAATGGACTAAAGTATCCGGTTTAATGAGAGGGTACGTTCTAATCTCCACCGCCATGTATAATGTGTCCAAAACTTGTAAACCCTTTTCTAGAGGGGGTGTACTCAAGCAGACTTAAAAACAAGAAAAGCTTACTGAATGCAGTGTCTCCACCTTTAGTACTGGTACCCCATTGCTAGTTTATTCAGAGTTACTTGCTGACCCAAGAAGTGATACTTTCAGGTTTATTCTTTTACATGAATAGAGAAAAGCGTAATTGTACATTGTTGCAACATAAGAAGTTGTATTTAGCTACAACATAAGAAATTGTACATTGGTAGCCTGCTTGAAACCATAGACAATCTCGACCACCTCGGCTCATTGACCTGGTCTTAATTATATTACTTCTCTCTCATGTTTGTTCATAAAAAATACACTAAACTCCTTGGTTTAATAAAGGCATACATTCGAATCTCCACCATGTATAATTTATCGAAATTTGTAAACTTCTCTACATGGTGTACTGAAGAAAAACGTTCATGTAAAGAATAGCACTGATGGAGAACCAATTGTACTGAAGAAAAGCTTACTGAATGCAGTGTCTTCGCCTTCAGTTAGTACCAAGTTGCTAGTTCATTCGGAGTTACTTGCTGGCGCAAGAAGTAATAACGCGAGCTTTATTCTTACATGAAGTAAGTGGAGCCTTACACTGTCACTACTCGAGAAGCCATATTTAGCCAGGGCTTGAACACATGGGTGGCCTCCTCACTTTGGTAGCCTGCTCGAACGAATAGGCCATCTCGATCAGCCTCGGCTCATACCCCTGCAGCCTGCCAAAGCATATGGCAAAGGGGAACCCCTTCTAGTTGTACCCCGCCGGCACAACAATGCCAGGGTGGCCGCCGATGGCAAGAAGGCTAGAGATGTCTCGCTGCTAGGCGCCACAATGGCGTCCAATTGGTGCTCCATCATTAGCTTCTCTAGCCCATTCGTGTTCAGCTCCTTCAATCGATGGATCACGGCTCTCTCCACGGGGCCAATGCTGCTTGTGTTTTGGGCCACGGTAAGGTCAGGCTGTCCGAAATCTTTCAGCCTCTCCTGCACCAACATGTAAATAAATTTTCTAAGAGCATACATATATTTAAAGATTAAGTTCCATTTACTGCCGTGTTGTTTCTACCTCTTTGTACGAGTTTTATTCCCTCATGATCCCTGCAACTGGAATCTATAAAAAAATGTAAAATAATTGTTTTATTTTTGGAAAAAACAAGTAATACCCCGGCCTCTGCATCTGAATTATGCATGCACCCATATTATTAAGCAAAAATGTAACACAAAAAATTTGTGATAACTAGGATCTATATTGTTTGAACCTATAACAAGAACGGCACCAATATGGAGGGAAATTAAATCTCAACCCACACTTTACTTTCTCATTTGATAATTTGCGCCTCTTAGAATGACTGGGCCAGGACCACCCGCCATTGGGGCAACCCTGTTGCAAATCATCTGACCCCTTGTAAACTGAGGCAAATAATGTAATCCTCACAAATATGGGTTCAGTTGGTTTTTGGTGCACTTGCCTCCACAGGATGCTTGTTGTTGAAAGCTATGATGTCTGCTAGCAAATGGACCGGGGAGTAGACCAAGTCTGCCAAATACGCGTTTATGCTCAGCTTGAACTCTGCCTGCCCTGTGATACCCTGGCTGGAACCAATCTCATCCAACAGAGCGGTCCAATTGGTAGCGACGGCAAGCTTCTCGAGCACAACCGCTCCAAGTTTCCTTTGGAAAAAATCAAGAATCAATTCATTTATCTATATTCAGATTCATGGATCGACAGTGAAATGTAAACCGCCCACGAACCTCATTGTGGCGAGGTGCTGCTTGTACACATTCAGCTGCGCCTGTTCATATCCTTGGAAGAAGCCATTTGGGACCCCGATCCTCTTCCCCCTCAGCCCATCTTTCTTCAGGAACTGCGCGTACCCCACCGTGGGGGATGTACTTTGATGCCGCTCCGGTGGCCGCGGCGTCGTGCTCGTCCTCGTCGTAGCATGTGCACCGTGTCCGACACCGTCCGGCACATCAGCCTGCATTTTATTTCCATGGAGCGGCACCAAGATTTAGACTTTTCAGGTTGAATGAAACAACAGCAAGAAGAAGAATCAGGGGAGAAAGAGAGTTACCCACCCGACGGTGTCCTGCAACGGGGTGATGGGAACCACGCCGGCCCGGCTGGTCAACCCCAACGTCGGCTTGATGTCAACGACTGAGTTGAACGACGAGGGGCAAAGTATGGAGCCGTCGGTCTCGGTGCCCAGCGTCACGGCCGCCATGTTCGCCGCCGCGGCCACACCCGACTGTCGTGTTGAGCGCATCGTGGGTGGCGATGTTGTCCTTGAGCAGGATAGGAACCCCGTACAGCGCGATAGTGGCCGTGCCGAGGCGGCGCTCTGCGTCGGCATGCTTGGCCTGCCGGAGCGCGTCCGGGTTGACCTCGATGACAGCGTGCAGCAGCGGGTTGAGGCGGCCGATCTGGTTCAGATAGAACCGGACGAGTGCCGTCGAGGTCAGAGTGCCGTTGCTGAAACTGAGCTGGATGTCATCCATGGTGGCCTCGTGGAACTCGAAGCCGTGTACGATGCTGGCGCCGGCGAGCAAAGCGAGGATATAGACAACAGCTTGCAGCGGCAACCAAGGCATGATATTAGCTTAGCTAGCCGGTGGCACTGGAGTCGGGTGTGGCCTGGCTTGTCTGCGTGTTTGTGTATTTTCATGGCGGTCGCCTTTAGCCTTTTTCAGACGCCTCATGAGTTTGTGTGTTCCACTCACTTATGTTCCTGGCTGCCTGTCTAATTTTACTACTTTTCAGACGCTGCATTATCTAAAAAGATGCACCACAAGTGGGAATCCTACTTTCCTAACAAGTACAAAAAAGAGGTCGAAATTGAGACTCAACGGTGCTCGAGCATCACGGAGCTCGTTTTCAAAATACAGATTATCAAAATGAGAAAATTGCCAAAAATATTTATAAGCCTTAACAGTTGAGTTGTCAATTTAACCACACGTAAAAAAGTAACTTGCCTGCAACAATTTATTAGTAGCACAGTGCTATCTTCGTCCAGGTTTTCAGGTCCCCTAGGCACCAGACTCGCAATCCATATTTACAAGGCCATTGCCTCGATCATCATGTAAAAAGTGAAAAGGCTGTGGGGAAGAGAGAGAAAAAGTAATCATTCGATGAAGAGAGAGGGCACTAGTATTAGGTATCTTCAAGTGCACATGTGCTTAGATGAGATGCTAAGCATATTAAAGACTTTAGCAACTAAAGCCCTCAATACATAGATGCTTAACTTGTTGTAGCTAAGCTACTATCATTTAACGATTTAGGAACTAAACTCCTTCATGCATTGGTGGGCTTCTTTCATTTAATTGTTTTGCTTAGTTCACGTGCTTGGCATTGTTTTTTTCTGAGGTCACCACACTTATTTCTCTCCTCTTGTTACCTTGCCACATCAGCTTTTTACCTACATGGCAGTCTTAACACCTGTACAAAGATAGAGCAATGGAAAGGGCCTTAGCACTTCTGCGTGAGAAGTACTACTTTGCATGCACACATGCACTAATTGCCTTGTTTAGAGAGACGGGATGCCGTTGGCCAGTGCTCCGCTAGTAATTCTCGTGTGATTAGAGCAGATTCTACCCATGTATATGTGTTTTTGTCAATGGACTTGAAAACCCAGACGGAGGTAGTAATACGATAGCAACGGTGGTAAAGTAGCAGTAGCAGCAATTCGGTGCTCGAGCTCAGCTAGTCCTGAAATCACTGGCGTCCGTAGCTGCGTTGGGATCGTAACAATTCGTGATGGCGTGTCAGAACGTTGGGGGGCAAATATTGAGGATACGGCTGCTATACGGTACGAAACAGTGCGACCGGTGGGCCAATTCACAGTAGGGACGGATGCGACTGAATCGTGCGGTCCTTTCTGGGCCGTGGACCAGGATGTACGCAAAAACCTGAGCCGTCGTTTTCCTTCGCGGCCGCATGCTTTGACGCGAGCAATGCAGTTCCCTGATGGCTTCAGCAAGGAGAGTCGGAGACATCGGCGGCCGCCTGGTGCACAACTGCTCTGCACGAGCAAGCTGGCTGGGCTGTGAAGGAGGTGGCATGGCGGTCCATAGGAGGTTGCTCATGCACGAGGTTGAGGCCGCCTGATACGGTTTCTGGGAGTAGGAGCTATAAGCAGGAGGTTGACCGCAACGACGAGGGTGGTGTCTCAGGTGGAGATGATGAATCGCACGTCG